CCCTGCCTTGTCGACATGCAGTGACGAAATCGGTTTGACTGGATAGCCGGAGGTCAATTCTCGTTAGAGACGAAAAATCTTTAATTGAAATCGTATGTTGTGTGCACTGACAGTGATAAGGCCTCAACATCGATCCGTTGACGCGTTGACACAAGTTGTTGACGCTGCGAATTGTGACGTAATTGAACATATGGACGTCAATAAAAATTTTGTTAATATACTTCACATGTTGATCGAGAAGAATTCCATTAAAACATTAGCTTATCTTAAGAAGACCACACAATTTAAATTTCAAACATGCTTATTTCTTAATAAGATAAAACCTAGTCTAGATTTATTCTTAAATCTGTTCTAAAATATAATTTGAGGCATAGAACAAATTGTATATATTATATATTTCGTTTGCTATGTGATTGTGCGCTGACAAATATTTAGACGTTAAGTGACCATAAATACAACACTCACGATACTTTAATGGCGATCTCGTAAAGGAATACAATTAGGCAATGAGTACGCATTAACACCTCGACCGCAAGCGTTTTACCCACGCTTCACTAATATAGTAACGTGAGATTTAAGTAAACACAACGAACTAAAAATCAATAACATTAGCAAAATCGATATTATTCCTCTCATTATTAAAAAAAAAAACAAAGCAGATGAAGCAAATTTAATATCATCGGTAAAATTATAATTTCCAGTTGTAACTAGCATTTTTTCTACCACCGGAAAAAAAGGTGAAAAAAAGGAAAAAATTACTTCTTTACTCGATATAATAACAGCAATACGAAGCCAGAAACACCTTACTGTGGCTCTATCGCTTTATTTGATTATCCCCTTTTCTTGTATTTCTTTTTACCTTCTACTTCCACACAAGATTTGACATTTCTATTACTTAGTATAATATTGGAAACGATTGTTGAATAGCGGTAGAAACTTAACATCAGACGAGCCTTTTAACTGCCCATCAAATAGAGACCATGAAAATTTAACACAAGTAATTTGACTTACTATTGTTGTCTTCCAGAAATCCATCCAGAGCATTCATAAATCTGCAAACAAAACAAACACGCCTAAGTCAGTAAATTAAAAACATACAAATTAAGAATCCATCTACCAATTCTACATTTCTGAGTTAGAAGGAATGGTTTCAGTGACCGAGAGTGCATTGCTGTGAATATGAGAAATGATAATGCTACAACTACTTAGAGATAATGTACAAATCAAATGTATAGTATCAGATAATAAAAATTAGCTATTAGCATTGTAATTTTATTGCATTCCGCGCTCCGACAACAGTCTCACAGCCAATACACGCTATAAAAACATCGGCGGCGATGTAAACTGATACGTCACAGTTATTCCGCCGTAACATTTAATTGAATTTCACAAAAATATAAAATCCCAAGTTCGCCTGTCACGAACCAGATGAAATATTATCATGTATCGAACTCAGCGTGTCGTCGTGCCTTAATCGATTTTTTTACACCTAGAACCGCATGATCTGTGGGCGTATCAATATTACGAGGCATTTCTGCCGACGACCGGAGGGGCCGGAATTAGTGAAATATGTTTGTTTTCGTCATAAGTCATAGCTACCGCAACATGATATTCGCCCGCCGATGGCGCCGACATCCCTACAATCACATCCCTAGGATATTTTATACACCCTACAAGGGTGGTCTCAAACGTTTATTTCATTAATAGCTTCTGTTTAAATTTAAAAAACAAAAAATCAGAACTATACATTAAAAAAATCCTTGTTAATAATAAAGTCTATGCTTACTTTGCTAATATTTTAGAAACTTAATTAGAAAGAACCGGTATGTTGAAACGGCTCGTTTGTCAAATCTAAAATTGTCCGTGAAACAGTAAATTCACGGGGTTTAAAAGAGTTCTAGCAAACATCACCTTCAAACAGTTCATAAGAATTTAAATCTTCACTCCAATAAGATTTACAATGCCAAACTATCCGCGACGTATGGCGCCAGAGAGTCAACAATTTAATTATGCATAAAGTCACGATTCAACTAACATCAAATACCTATTGCTTAAGGCTTCCTACTCACTCGCTACGTCAGAACAACAAACATTTTAACAGCATTAATATTTTACAACTACCTTTATGTTCAGAGTTTTTTATGTGTTATAGATTTTTTCACATGTTAAAGATATAGAAATTTTTGTCAATTACGTCAGAAATATAACGCATATTTTCATAACACCTGCGAAGTGACAAAGCAATTCAAAGTTGGTAATTTTTGATTAAACATCATCAATAAAAATATAAAAAGTAAAGCTGCATACATAAATATTACAGGGAAAGTTCAAACTAACATATGTGGGATTAAAAGCTATGAATCGAATAGAAACTCGTCATTCCTTTATAATATTAACACCGACAATGTATAATTCAATATTGTCATCGAATTAACCTGACTTAACTCCATACCTTACAATATCCATAAAAGATTCCATAAGCATCCGAGAGGTAGCGTGACTGTAACCACTTGAATAATCACATTACTGAATATAAAAATGTTTTATCGACAAAATCGAAGAAATATTTTATGACCCTCATTGAAGACCACGTAAGGAAGCCCGTGGATTAATTAGAGGACGATTCCACAAGAGTTTAAATCTTAAACACAGATATCATTTATTTTACATGACAGATTAATTCTGATAGTTTATAGCGTTCGACTATAATTACTCTTTTGCTGTTAAACTACATGTCATTGAAAAAAAGATTGTAGCGTTAAAATTGGACTAACTTTTCATTTAAGAGTTTTATATTCTGTGTGATTGTATAACAATGAGTTTAAAGTTTTGATGGGGGCATCAAATTAGATCCCCTATTGTTTTTTTATACTTGCTTGTTCATTGAAAAAATATGCATCTAAAACAATTCCAGTGACACTTATCTGAATATAAAAAGTAGAAAAAGTCAAAGCATTTCCTGGTGTACGCACACGGATGTCGTTATTTTTAAATCCTGTCAAAATTGTGTATTTTACGGCACGTTCATTCAGATCGAAGCTTCGAGAATTATATGGTTTCTTATTTAATTTTAGTGTGGTCATGCATTTGTGTAATAATTTATATCTAGCGTTATCTGACCGTTGGATCGGTCCCTAGTTATAATCCGGGCATTTTTCATGCGGCAACTGCAAGCGTACGATCGGTGGTACTGAGAAATTTATCTCGACGGGAAGCTCCTACTCCGCGTGCAATTATTAACCAATCTAACTTAGGGTAGGTCGGGATCCATCCTAACGTTTTTGGTTTTATGTTAAAAATCTGGAAACTTCAAATACAGCCGTTCATTACTTAGTATTCGTGTAATGAGAAATCATTACTAAAAAGTGTTACTTTACTCTTGTATAGTGTTTATATAATCAGAGCTTGAACTCGAAGCTCTCCGATATAAAATACATAAGTCGTAAGACAAAATCTCGCAAAAATAAACAAGGCGTATAATTTTGTAATTCATAAACTATCAAGTTTACCAGTCTGCTATCCCTCGCTTGACATGTTAAGTGTGTGATTAAAGCGCAATGCGCAGTAATTGTGTTGGGAGTTAATTGCCAAGTTAATTTTAATTAAATACACACGTCGCGGACGTTTCTCATTAATAATATCCGATGATACGATTTGTTGCGAAAGTTTTAACTACCTTAGAGTATTCATTAAATATTAATTGCCAGTGGTAAATGAATTGAAATTACTGAATGTTACTACGTTACTTAAATAGTTGCGTAAAAAGAAATTAGAGCAATTTTATATATGATAGAGCCTTGTACTATTTATCTGTGTGTCATGCATCACTCCGCCATATTTATATCTCTAATAGTCTCAGACGTGATATTCGCCAAAACTTTGTAATGAGGTATTATAAAGATGAGGTATTATAAAGAAGATATATGAGAGGTATAAACTGATTATTTTATGTCTTTACATCAAACTGGACCTCACAAAGGCTGCGCGGCCGCATCGATCATTGTACCAGCAGTCGGGTCACAGCGCGTCGATGTGCTACAAGCGTCGAAAGTGGCCGGGACCAGATAATAGGCGACACTCTGATACAAGGCAAGATAAGACAGGAGGTTCCCATGCGACCCGCCCCGGCACATGTAGACCGGCCGGGTCAAAGGTGAAGCTACGACAAACATTTCCGGAACATCAAGGAGCTACACATACTTTCCATTCATAAAAATTCAAAGTACTATATCAATGTTTTAACTCTGTACATGTATTAAATTAAGCGGAACACAATGTACAGACAAATTAAATTAAACGATGTTGACTAATTTGAGACTAACTGACACATTTTATTTTGTCTTTATGTGATTTTTATGTAAAGCTCAAACAACTATTAATAGTAGTCGGAGGAACATTATCAGACTGTTGACAGTTTGATAATGTTCCTCTATTTTCCTTAACGTAGTCTTAACAGTTGATGCGTAGACAAATGAAGTGTCGATGCGTACACGGTGCGAAACTCACGACGGCTGGTAGCGAACTGCCGTCACTGCCCTCGGCGTATATTAACTTGTATAACGAATCGATCGTTTAGAATATACACATGCGATCCTCTTGATATGCAACTTTAGTGCTTCAGGATAAAACGATTTGATTATTTTAATGTTAACATGCTTTATAAATGAAGGATTCGTATAAATTTTTGCTTGTTAGTTGCTTTTAATATTACTTTTTGATAAATGTGATAATGACTGGTAACAATCTTATTCTGTTTTGATACGGAAACTTCCTCAAGCTGTGTAGATTTAAACATTCCCGATATGCTAAAAACACGTCACCAAACATCACATGCAAATTTGAAATACATTTTAATTTAAACATAAAATCGTGTTTCATTTCGGAATACATAACTTTCAAAGTCTAATAAAACTTCTAAATAAAAAGAGCAAAGTATCAATGTTGCTACTGACAACGTAGCCCGAGGGTAAAATGTTGCTCAATATGAATTAGATGACTGCAAGTTAGGTTAGATTCGATTCGACTTCGATTAAACGCAGGCAAGACGTATCTTAATAAATATTGCATTTATATCGACACTGTTTTGAAGTCACCGTATTAAATATGACTGAAGAAAAGGAAATAAAAAGACATTTCCTAATAGTAATTGCTAAATGTTCGCAACAAAAAGATGTTTTACCAAATTACGAGTAACAATAAAGTTCTAAGAACATTAATATTACGTAGAAATATTCAACGTAAAAAAAAACAACTTAGATGACTAAAGTTAAAAGGACAAACTTATGTTATTTTACCATACAAAAAAAAACTCTAAAACATTTAAGAACAAAAGATGACAAGGTAATGAAAAGACCTGAGCATGATAAACTATACGTTTTGAAAGGACTTTGTATAAAGTTCTCGAAATCCATTAGCCGCGTTAAAACAATCCACTGAGGCGATGATCCGTGATATCATCAAAGGTGGAATTAACTCGAGAAGTGTTAATTGCTTCCCTCGCCTTGATAATTGAATGATTCAATGATAATTTTCGTAGTAACCCCTCTGCGTTAGTCATAAAACTGATTTTAATAATATTATGTTAATCAATCTCTTAGAGAACATTAAAAAATTATTTTAAAAATATACAGGAGTATAATGCATTTGGTGTAAATAAAATTAACTAGCTAAATGATACCATCGTGTAAAAAAGGTTATGGTCATGATAGGGACCAAAAATCTTAGTTCTTTAGACTAGACTTTACAATTCGCAGTAACTCAGTTTTATTGTGATCATCCTGTATACAGATTAGCAGTTTATCTCGACAAACGTTTGCCGCTTCCCACAAAACTCATGATTCACATACAGAGACCGCATCTCGTAAGTATTACGTGTCGGCTACATTACAACGGGTGTCCTCATTTTACAATCCCATTTTAATCCTATGATTCAGTCAGCACTGAGAGAACCAAACTCAAATTATCAACGCAATTATACACTGTTTTTCCTAGAACAAAACATCCTTTGCGGTTTACTGACATGGACAAATAAGGCGCTTTATAGGTCGCCGCA